CGTTCAACATTTTCATCTGTAAGTACCGAAATCGGACGACCAGATCGAGGATCATCAGTGACATCGTCTCTTCCTTCACGAAAACGTTTCGCCCATCTTCTGACTGTTGGATATGATGGAGCATCAGGTCCCAATGCCTCTGTAAGTTCGTCAAAGATTGTTTTTGAATCTATTCCCAAAATAGCTCGAATTTTGATATAATATCGATTGAATTCATCAGTCATGTTTAATGTCTTCTTTTAAGATTGAAATCAAATTCTATTACGATTTTAAGTCGAGTACGGTACAAATGAACTAACAGCGAACGACCTCTCATTTATATATACTATCGAAATGTAATATTCTAGAACATGACGTCATAAAACGTGACGAGAGAGTGACCAATAGAAAGTTCCAGAATGTACCTGACCATTGAACAAGAATTAATAATATTTGCATTGTCTGTAAAATTATAGATTTAGTCTGAAAGGATGTTAGAACTAAGTCTAAGAGAGAGTTGCTCTATATATTATTAAAGACGAGACGTTATACTATATATTGCCTTAGTAAAATATTCAATATTTATTGCTTTATTAAATTTTAAAAACTGTGATCAGAACTTTTGGTATACCCTAAGTAAGATGATCGCCTTATCTTCCATGCTTTTTTGTGTTGCAGAAATTAACAGTGGTAATCCATTCAATGGTTGGTCAAAGGGAGAGCTATTAAAACTTTTGACGAGTGCTTGTCCAGATTTATTTAATATTTCGATCTGGTGGGATAAAGAAGAAGTTTTGATAAAAGAATTTGCTAAACAACATTTTATGAACATTGAATCAGCAGTAGAATTTCGACGCTCCACTGTTAATATGAAAAGAGAACATGAAAGATACAAATTTCTAACCCGGAAGTTATTATCGTTCTGCGTGGAAATGAACAGCTTGTCGAACGCTTGGTGGAAAGAAGCTGAAAAACACAATCGACGAGAAACAGATGAAATTAGTAAGGATAACAAGGACTACTCGGAACATATAAAACCAAATTTAGTTCAAGAAGAATGCAGTCTAACAATTATCGGAGATACAGGCGCTGGTAAGCTCAAGCGAACGTTTGATGGTGTTTTGATGATAACTACCCAGGTCAAAAAATCAGACGTAAGATCTTGTAAGATTAAACGAAATCGTACAAGAAATCGTGGTTCCTGCAGTTTGATGCTAAGTCCTGCTATGAGATTCTTGAAAGATCTTACAGTCACATGAGATTTCGTATAATCTTACAGTAATTTCTTATAGGAGAACAAGATCTTTTCAAGAATCACATAGTAGGACTTACGAGGGAACATTCCCAATTGTCAAATCGCTTTTCGCTTGTGACTATTGCCGTTTGATCGCTCTCGGTAAGTAGTAAAAAAGTCTTTTTTGGTTTGATTTCTGATCTTCCAATGTCGAGCTATGAGCGTTTTACTCCATTTATGGTGTATGGGCATAGGTTTGCTGATTAGCTAAATTATCGAATTTAGAACTGAAATTTTGCTTATAGATAGGTCTTATCGTCACTAGAAATTCACCAAAGTTTGAGCCAGAACGAACGTATCCTTGTCGAGATACTAGCTTGTCATGAAAATGTCCTTTTAGCGAAACACAGCCCAAAACAGGCGTTTTTTGGAATGTGAATATCTCAGTAAGGATACGTTCTTTCTGGTTCAAACTTTGGTGAATTTCTAGTGACGATAAGATCTGTCTATGAGCAAAATTTCAGCTAGAAATTCGATAATTTAGCTTATCAGCAAACCTATGCCCATAGACCATAAATCGAGTAAAACGTCCATAGCTCGATAAGGGAAGGTCAGAAAACCAATCCAAAATAGACTTTTTCACTATTCACCGAGAGCGATCAAACGGCAATAGTCACAGGCGAAAAGCGATGTGACAGTTGGAGATGTTCCCTCGTTAGTAGCATACTGCAGGAACCACCATTTTTTGTACGATTTCTGCCTGATCTTGTAAGATAGACAAGATCAGATGTACGATCTTGTAAGACCCTTCCATTTGATTGTCTGACCTGGGTAGGCTTACTTCAACTTCTTGTTTCCATCTGAAAAGGTAAATCATCGATGATCAACCTCTTATGTGACGAATCAATAATGCCAACAGGTGCAATTAAAACAACATCAGGAGTTTGTGAAATACGTTATTCAACGGCAAAGCGTTTCTCTAAAAAACTCAAGAACTCTTCCGTATTTGAAAATATCGAGTTGGATTTCCGCTTACCATCAACGACTTTTTCCTCGGCATTAGCAAAATATCTCGCAAATCAGACTCCTGAGCGTCAAGATTGTTCGTCTGTTTCATGGAAATTGGAATGGCCTGTTGACATATTGAATAGTGGAATTATCATTTATGATACACCAGGATTCAATGACTGTCCTGAATTGACGAACGTTGTAACAGAACACATGAAAAAATGTTTAGTATTTCTAGTCGTTATTAATTGCGGTCTAACAGACAGTCTTTTAAAATCACTGGATCAATTGAAAAAACTTCGGGCAAGTGGAAAAACTCTCTTCTGTGTCATTACTCATCTGGATGATAAAACAATGGATCACCAAAACAAAGCACTCGCCGATGTGAAAAATGAAATGCTTGATCTCTTTCCTGAATTTAATATCAAAAATTGCGTAATGTTAAATCCAGAGAAGGCATTATATATTCTAAAAACCTATAAAGTATATGAAATAAATCATTTTAAATTCTTACAAATTTTTGTTCCATTTCTATCTCAAATCTTCACATTAAAAATAGCTGAACTAATTAATCAAATTCGTTCTATGTTGGAACGTTTCAATCAATTCATTCAAATTTGCTACAACTTCTGTGACGAGTCGTTTAGAAAATCATATAAAGCTAAAATGGAAATTGAAGATCGACGATTAGATTTCAAAGAGGCAAAAAAAAGATTAGAAGCCAAAATAAATGTTACTGCCGAGGATTTCAACGTAAACGCTGTAACCGAAATTATTAGTAAATTCTTAGATGCTGATTTTAAACGTCAGCTTATGGAAGTGGCCGAGTCTACGATTTTGCCCGACGATGTAATGACGGCAGTGAATTGGAATGCAGAAGAAAAGAAAATGTTCGCCGAGCCCAAAGAAAAAGAATATGGTTTTCATGGTTTTTTAGGACGGTTTCAGTATAAACAAAAAATTATTGATGAATATGAGCTATCGTTCCTTTCTGCAATTAAAGTCTTTTTCAATAGGAATTATGCAACTTCAATTGGTACAACGGATGCATATAAAGTTTATCTACAAGTACAGCTAATCAAATGGATAGATCAACAGATGACGATGTTATTATCAAAAATGGCTGAACAGACAATGGAAATCGTCTATCAAAATTGCAGTAACGATTTAAAGATTGTAAATAATGCTATACAACGACGTTACCGACTACTAACACAAAAAAATGCACATGATCCAAATACAAAAGAGAGATACCGTTCAATTTTAACACCAATGATAACAAATCACAAGAAACAATTTTCATGTGATATAAAAGTAATAGTTGGAATATACACATTTGGATTAGCGTTAATAGGAGAGCAGATACACGATCTGATCAAAGGTTACACTGTGAAGCAAATTCGAAGTGCTCCTCATAAATTTAATAGAGAAGTTGCTGAACGGCTATACCAACGTATTAGTGACAAACTGAAAAATCAGAACGAACGAAAGAAACTTCTAGATAAATTGGGTAAAGATCCTTCTGCATTTCTCGGTGATATACTAGCTCATTTTGAACGTGTCTTCGTTGATATCGAACAGTTATCTCGAATGCAACAAGCTTGTGAAAACACTGAAGAATGGCAGAGAGTCTGCGCCAAATACCTAAATCAATGCAAACTTCTTCAATCACAAATCCATAATTTTGAAGCAAGAAATTTATTACTATGATCACTCAAGGTAAATCAGGTGGAGATTGATGAACAGGCAGGCGTTCACACATCGGTTTTCGATGGCAGCGTTTTAAAGTATGGAAGCTTAAAGACAAAGGAAAGTGATGCTCCGACACCACGTGTATCAATTCGAAGTTTACATTATAAATTCAATATCCTCCAGATCTATGAGGAAACAAACGTAAATCGACTCTTCAATAATGACAACCTTCTATATTGTTACGGTGCATATCTGTCTGAAAATATTGTTCATATTGTGACAGAACCTTACGCTGAAACACTAGAAGATTTTCTGTGCAGTGACAAGCAGTTAGAAACACGAAATATTTTACAAATGTCACTGCAGCTTACAGAAGCGGTGGACTTTGTGTCACAAAAGATAGAGAATGAAGAAATGTATGATTCGTTTGTGTTGAATACAAGCTCCATAATGGTTACTCCAGCTTCACAAATCAAATTAAATGTTGTTGCAAATAAAGTTGACTTTTTGTATCAATCGCCAGAAGATTTATTCCCACGTTATGTGATGACCACTCCCGACGTAGGCATGCCTAAACTCTTTTCCAGCATTTATTCACTTGGGCTGATTTACTATCGTCTCTGGCATAGAAAACCAGACCAAATTCATTATTTCAAGTCTGGAAAATGGCTGCTGCCGTCACAAGAAGAAGAAGGAGACACAACGGTGGAACTGCGCGACTATACAAATTTCGTTGAAACTTACCACGAGGATCAACATTTTCAGTTTCATACACCGATTATTGATCACGATTTAGGCACTATTAGTATTGCCTTGCATGGCTTGATTAAATGTTGTTGCTCAATTGATTTTACTGATAGGCCAGCTTTAAATGTACCACTTTCAGTTTTAAGGTGTCTCTTGGTAAGTGCATTTAAGAAAGACTTTTTTCCTAGTCGAAAAATCCAGGTTTCCTTGACCAGTTTCTCATGTATTAGAACATAGACAACAGGGCATATATTCGCTCACTTAACATGCATTCATGACTAGAGGAGAGTGAGCAGGTACTTTAAAATTTCTTGAATATGTGCTTATCCTTTTACAGTTCATGCAAGACAATGAAGTCAACAATAGTGTTGAAGCAAGAGTAATATTGAAAGATTCTTTTGCTTCACCACGTGTCAAGTATGGCTTGCTCTCTATTGATGGTGGTGGCACAAGAGGTATCATTCCAGCTGCAATTATTGAATTTTTAGAACAGAAGTCTGGTAAAAACTTATGGGAATTATTTGATTTAACGGCAGGCTGCAGCACAGGCGGTATCTTGGCCTTGGCAAGTATGCTACGAAGAGCAAAAGGCATGGAATTAGTTACATTTTATAGTTTACTTGCTAAAGAAGTATTTCCATTTCAAAAACTGCTTCCAACTACTGAATATCCTGTAGAACCACTCGAGAAAATACTGAGAAAAGAATTCGGAGATACGATGATGATTCCACAGTTAAACGACCCAAAGACATTTGTCGTTACGAAACGTAACACAGAAACGACGCCATTTCTATTACGCAACTACAATATTTCATCATCAAAGCACCAGGGAGATCTTGGTTGGAAATGCTCCGAAGCAGCTCGTGCAACATCAGCAGCACTAACATATCTCAAAGCATTTCGAAAAGACAATAATATTTACACTGACGGCGGTGTTGGTTTCAATAATCCTGTAGAATTATTATATGATGAGGCATTCGCACTTCTTTCATCCGATTTCAAGGAAACTTCCTTTGCCGTCAAGGAATGTCCTATTGCTTATATTGTTAGTATTGGCACAGGAAAAATGCCAGATCTGCCTCTAACGAACCCTAACGCTTTTTCTCTTATTCGCGTTAAAAATGCCATTGACAGTGTTCTGGAGCAAGCATCCGATTCAGAAAATCCGCACCATCGAATGGAGAACATCTGTCAAAGACTCAACATTCCTTATTATCGATTTAATCCAGAACTTAAAAAGCGAGCAGAGCTGACTGAAACTGCAGCGCTAAATGATTGGTATGAACAAACCAAGCACTATATGAACTGTAATGCAGAACAAGTCAACCAACTATGTGCGCTCTTTTCGCAAAGAATATGTTCCATGCTCTGTAAGCCGTGTAAGCTTTAGAAAAAAAAGTGATTGAATGGTTGAAATAAAAAATAATCCAGAAATTCTACTTTCGAATTTGTTCTCGTCACTATCATAATGAAAGAGAAAATTCTACACAAATGAGGGTGTGCGCGTGGGTGTGGGTGGGTGTGGGCTGTGGAGTGTGGGTATGGGTGGGTGTGGATGTGGGTGTGGGTGTGGATATGGGTATGGGTGTGGGTGTGGGTGTGTGGGTGTGGGTGTTGTCTTAGTCTTCTTTCATAACCACGCCTGTAACCACAGCCACCCACCCACACCTACACCCCATTCAAAAATAATCGATTCCAGTCTGATTTTAAGTCAGGTTTTTGCATGGGTAATTGAGTCTCAGAAAATTTTTAAAAACCCTTGATTTTATAAGTAAATGGTAATAAAACCCTGGCCAAAAATAGAAGATCACGTTTGGAAGAGCGATGTGAATTTCCGTAATAGCAGAAAGCCATCACTTTTTATTCCGTGGGATGGAGCAAGCGTTGGATTTATTGGCATTTTAGGTTAGACGTTGAATTAGCAATTAGTATCGTATCATCAAAACATCATGTGCCAAAGGTTGACCTGATGTTACGCTTACCATTTGTCGTAGTAAGGAGTCCAGAAAAAAATTCAAAATTTTCAAGTTTAACTGTCAGAAAAAAGTTTGTCATCCATATCGTGATTAAATACGGTTGAAAATTGAATAATCTGATAAAAGTAATAATATTTTAATCACTTTTTAAACAAAAAAGTCCATTGAAATTAGAGGTTTTTTCGATTTTTTTTACAAGGGTACTGCTTTTTGGTCCGTGATGCTTTTTAATTA